GTGGTGTGTTCTTGCACGCCCTCCTCCAGGGCGCCTTGCTGGAGGAACATGTACACAGGCAGCTTCGCCCCGTCGCTTCCCTCCCTACCTGGTTTAAACCCGCGAGGGTAGTTCGGCCCATTCCCCTGCAAAGAATAAACATGCATAAACATGCATATTTAGACAGTAGCCAACGATCATCTTCGTAAATGCGCGTTATCTTGGGGCCGCTGTCGCGAAAATAAAAGAGGACGACCATCGACTTCAAACGGCGCATATCAAACCAAACAGAGTGCCGTCAACCTCGTACGGCCTCAGTACTGCCCAAAACAAATGAGTCGATTGGCGCACCTTCGTGGAGTCGTGTGTGGCCTGCTGAGCGTCTGTGCCGACCGCGCGCGGTCCGGAGGTTCGGCGCTTACGCCTCTCGTCTTCATCCTTCTTGGCCGATTGTGTCGGTGTCACCGCAGGACGAGTCCCCAAGCTTTGGCGCGCCGGTGTCGAGACAGTGGCGGTGTCCATATCCATACCTGGCGGGCACACGGGAACAGAGAAACCGAAAAAAAGTCAGGGCGTAGGCGTAAATGCAAAGTGACACATGGACGCAGACAACACAGCAGTAAAGTGAAACTACGTTGCCACCAGCGCCTCCGCAAAATAAGTCGGACATGATTTTTTAACAGCCTCCAAGGCTGTGTGCGACAACGACGGTATCCAACCCATCTTTGCAAAATTGTGCTTTTGTGGACTATACGTTGCCCCCGGTTGCTGGGGTCATGATGGGGAAATACAAAACCATCCTTCAGCAACTTCATTGATACTTCGACAGGTTAAGTGCACAAGGTTTCTAGGGGATCTGCTCACGAAATAGAGTACAACAGCCGTGCCACAACAGCCGTGCCACGTCGTCAGGTAAAGGGGGTGTGAGATGTCGGCTCCGCGGGTTNCCATTCTCATTTTTGGATACGTTCCCATTTTTCCCGTAAGTCTGTTAAATCCCGAACTTCGCAAATCGGACATAGCAAAAAAAAACAAAGCATTCATTTGTTCGTGATGCTGTGGCAATTGTCATGACACAACCTATTCTCCCTCCCCATGATAGTTGCCAACAGCATCGAAAACAGAAAGAAGGGGTTTATCCCTGACCGATGGTACATGGAAAGGCGCGTCAAATACACAGGGTGTAGAAATGTGTAGTGTCGAGGTGCCCTGTACCCAAGGGTCGTCTGCAGGCGGTTAAGCCTTTGTGCAGCACAGACAGAGTCTGTGTGATGCAGACCGAAGTCTGTTCAGACCGATGTCAGTTGAGGCGAAGACCGAAGTCTGATGTTGTTGCTAAATGCCGCTTCTGGGACTTGTACTTTCTTTCTTCTTCTTCAGCTTACTTGCAGAGTTGAGATGTTGAGGGATAGTTGGGGAGTAAGCCCGGTACAGCAATCATACAGCTGCATCTATGCTACTACACACATCCTACAGCAGTAATGCGCTGTATTTCAACATACAGAACTCGGAAAAACGTGAGCCACGTGTGTTGGGGACGCCATTGCGTAACACTTCCGACACCACCTACGAATAGTGTGCAATGTGCGAACACGTACGTGGTCAACATTATTTTTTCTCCCAAGAAGAGAACGAAAATTAGGCAACCTTGCCGGATACTCCAAGCTGTTGTTGCACCTAAGCCACAACATTGACATATTGAATGATGAACCGGGGAGCGCTTTCATTTTGAAGTAAAGTATACAACAGCGTTTGGAGTGTGCCAAACGAAAACAATAATAAATGCATTAGTCTACACAACACTCTCACAGTGTTGACGATTGCTACCGGCTGTGACTCGACAGCAAACTCGACCCACAAGTCTTCTCCACCGGACAGCAGCCAACACCAGAGAGTACTGTCTCAAAAAGTGGTTCCTACCTGAAACTAAGTCGTTGCTTGCAACGCCAGCAAGATATTGGTTCCTCGCAGCACGCCCCTTCTCATTGTTTCTCTTTGAAAGTACAGCAGTATCCCACGGAGTGAATCGCAGTAAATGTCAGGAGGAGTGAACCCAGATGGCCGCCCTCCCATCAACATTACCAAAACATGCCACAAGGACTGAACATTAATAGCTATTATGAGCAGCCCGGGGGCATAACAAGTAGGAAATCACTACAATGAGAAATTAACAAACACGAGAGGCCGGGATAAGAGAACGACCGAAAGCACTTCCTCATGGCGAATAGCAGCCGCCAAACGTTTGGCTCGATATACGACCACTGGTCTACTGCTGTATGGGGTTGCCGTTGACGCACGTAACTCACCGAAAAATGTTGTCCACCCTTACACCTCCCATGCTCCACTGTCCCTTCGCCTGCGTCTAACTTGTGTACCTACGTTGCCCGCTACGCCAGCAATTTGTTTCGGTGCCTTTTTCTGAAGTTTCGTACAAACCACCAAGACAACAACGTTGAGGAGGGGGGGAAATCTGACTTACTAGCGCAACCAAAAAGTATTGGTTCATAGGGCTTGTTCACCCGCTACGCCAGCAATTTGTTTCGGTGCCTTTTTCTGAGGTTTCGTACAAACCACTAAGACAACAACGTTGAGGAGGGGGGGAAACCTGTCTTACTAGCGCAACCAAAAAGTATTGGTTCATAGGGCTTGTTCACCCCAATGAGAAAAGCACCGCGTCAGACGTTCGTTAGCCCATGACTGCCCCACGTTTCTACTTTTAACGGGCACATGAGAAATTGCACTGCGTTTAAAACAAACACTCCAAAAGGAATGTCAAAAGCCTTGCATGAGTTCAAAAGATTCGCAAGGGCTAATCCCCCAACGGGTACTCTCCGTTTACGTCCTACAAACCCCGCCACAAGATCCCGTTGTTACCCCCCATCCTTTTCTCTCTCTAGTAGGGACGACAGCAGCACGACCAGACTTGACGCTCCCTTGCTCTCGGGGTGTGGAATCGGAAGAACGCGAGGCTGCCACATGTGTGGTACTGACGGAGTCGCTTTGCTGGGTGACAGGGGCTGCGGCTGACTGCTGTGGGTGGCTGGTTTGGGCAGCTGCTCTGGCAATTCACGCGGTCGAGGTGGGTCGTACTCGGAGTTGAAGAACCCAACCGATCATCCCGACAACGCAGAGCGCGACTATGGATTCAGCTGTATTCTCTTGTACCCACCTCCGCTTGTTTTGGGACATCACACGGCCCTGCTAGTTATCACAGCAGCACGTTCACCCATGCTACCCACGACAACGAGCTTTCTCTGAGCTGTGGTGCAGTCAGGCTGGTGGCGGTACTCCGTTCGTGAGGATATCTGGTCATGTGCAAGTGCATTATCTCCGAGCGTCGGCGCCGGTTCGGACTGGAATGAATTTGGAGAACACACCTACACGGCGGATTTTCAACAGCGCGTCGTGTGTCGTGAATATCGGCATCGAAAACATGTCCTTTCACATCCGATAGGAACAAGCCACGAACTCCATGTCCAACCGTCCTGTGTAGTAGGATCCTTCAGCATGGAGTACTGCCCAAAATGTATGCACCTCGAAGTGCGTACCTGTAGTCTATGCATAAACACAACTAAGATCCCAGTGCGTGCCTATAGCGAAGCGAGCCAGCCCGGTCGTTCGCAATGATCCAAACCGAACACACGCCAACAACAGCACACCAAATCATTTCACGAACATTTCTACTCTACTCTGTTGTGTTGTCGTGAAGGCTTTCCCCACCCCTAGCAACCCATACACATCCCCATCCGTGCGTCGTCGCCCTACCACAGAACCTGCTGTTCCGACAAAGCTATGGTTTAAGTACCATCTACAGTATTGACACTCGCCAACTCGCTCCCAACTAGCAACAACAACACCCACCACTCAACCAGTTCGGGTACTTGCTCGGGGAGCGAGGGGAAAGGAGAGGATGGTGAGGTTCACCCAGAAGACACGGTCCAAACGGCGTTGCCATGGTCGGGCGGAACATTCGTCCTCCTGCGGACGACAAGTGTAATGGGATTGCCACGCGCTGTGCAATCTGGAAGAAAGACCGGTGATCAAGAACTCACTTGTGCGAAGGCGTACCGATTATGGTAAAAGTCACTCGACGGATACCTTAGGAGTCGTGTCCTTAACAGAGTCTCCACCCACACATGTTACCCTCAACTGGGAGGCCAGGACGGGTACCGTAAAAGGGGGAGGATGGCAGCAGCAACAATCGTAATTGAACATGTTTTTTCGTCGTTTTTTTGTCTCCTCACCCAAGCCTCACCCAGGTGCCATCTCTCCGACCCCGGTGTGGAAATGCAATTCAATAATTTCGTGTATCTTTTTCAAGGCACCCCGGTGCGATCTCTCCGACCGGTGCAATCCCCGATGAAGTACACACAAGTGTGGTATGCAAGCACCCTGGTGCCATCTCCATCTCCCTGACCGGTACCATAGTATTGGTACCAGTGTACCGGTGTCCATAAGCAGACGATGTGCGGTGTAGGCATACATACCCACGCACACACATGGTCTTCTGCGCACGCATATCTGAGCCGCAAAAAGGCGGAAAGATGGCACACATACGGCGTGACGACAACAAACGATGTCGTTTCCATCTAGGGTTCGGTACATACGTTATCAATTGCCTCCCGCTTTCGTATCGGTCTTCCTCTACGGGTACCAGTAATTGTTTCGTTGTGTATGATAAGGCGGGGTATGTTCGGCTTGTATGTTGTGTATTTGGTTGAGTGTACGGTTGGCAACTTCCATACCAATAGAATATATAACTAAAACAGCTGGTATCCCGTGTGAACCGCGACCATGCGTACGTATATGGGAGTGGCGCTCCGCTGACACCGTCAGAACATGTAAAGGGTACGTACATATGACCGAGAGAGAGAGAAAAGGTCCCCGCAGTTTTGTGATTGGCCAATTTTTTTGAAAGGAAATGTCCTGTGGACGAAAATTCCATGGTCGACCGGTGACGTCAGCCACGGTCTGATGCCATATCCCCGACCGGTGCCACCTCTCCGAAAGTTACGGTAATTCGATAGAGGTGTCACAGATTCTTGGTAGGATCTACTCCAAGAGGTGCTGTCAGGACTGACACACAATGGTTTTCATGGGAAAACGTTCAAGTAAGGAGAAAAATGTGCCCACAAGGAGATTCGAACCCTAGTGTCATGGTGGCCTCCACGTTGAAAGGTCGGGTTGTTGTTGTTGTTGTTGTTGTTGTTGTTGTTGTTGTTGTTGTTGTCTTGTCTTCAAAATAAAACCGTTGCGATCTCTCTATCTCTCTCCCTCCCAAACAGTCTTGCATTCTGGATACGTGGGTAGACATGGAAAACACCGACTCCCTCAGTCCAAGGCATGCCGATTGTCACAGTTGTTGTTCTCCAATTTCGTAACAACCCAACTCGCGTAGTTTTGCACGCAGCACAGAAAATATTTTCCTCGCCTGTTCCCCCTACATCTGACTGAGTACTAGGCGTTGTGCATCAACTATACATACATTAACGCTTCTTTCTTGCCCTGACCGTCGTCCTAAGGATGAACCAAGATTTATCACACTACTCCTTGTGCGAATCTTCATCTCGTCTTCACTGCTCTCTAAACCAACGAAAATCTCTTGGAGGACCAGCACGGTTGCCCGAGGCAAGCTGCGATACCAATCTCATTTATCGTTTCCCAAAACGTACATTGCTCTTTGAGGGTTGTTCACGCCGCAAGACACAACGCGTCTGACCTTCGGTGCCCAAGGACGGACCGTGTTCCTACTTTCAACGCACACACGCGACTAACCTGGCATTAATCAATCAATTGCCTCCGAAACGTAGAAATTAAACCATGCATGATTTCATGCATTCGCACAGGCGTGATCCCCACCGGGTGTTGATCGTCAATGCTGCAACCCCTCCGCAAAAGCTCTCATTCATTCTTTCCCCGGTCCCATCTCCCGATTCGCCATGCC